TAACGAAGATGTACGATACAAAACTAAATGAAGCGCTGAATTTGCTTGGCAGGCGCAGATAGCCCAACACGAAAGACGAGCAGGGCGAAGAGGTTTGGAACAATTGACCTGTAGAACAAAGAAGAATAAGAGGGGCCTGGCGAGTTACATAATACTACGCTAGTAAAAAAAAAAACCGTACTACTTTGTTGACCAGAAATGGTTCTTAGTCCTCAGGGTGACATTCGACCCAGAATGCGAAAGCGCGATTGGGCCGTCGTTGTCTTTCAGCGATGTTAGATGAAAAGACTAGAAAAAGCGGCCTACAAAGTGACATAAAAACAGCGACAAATGTCAAACATAGAAAAGAAAAGTGGCCTAGTTGATAGAGAAGACCCCTCCTTCTGGGCTTCATTACATGTACGAGGTCAAGTAGAATAAGAGATGCCATGCGTAATAGATCCGATATTATTGGTACACGAGACAGAGAAAACATGGATAAGGTGACACCGGCTAGATGAGCACCAGGGAGAGCCTATTTATAATATTATTGTGCATACAGCGTCAAATATTGATTGTTTGATGAGCAGGGATACAAATCGTTTGTAACTGTTTATATCCCATAACGGCCAGATATATATATATATAATAGTTTCTGCTATTCTAGTTGACTAGTATTAGTGGAAAGCAGAACCCAAGAAAATTCAGTAGCGCCGCAGACAGATGAAGTAGTTGCATTTTGCCTTTATATAACTACGAAAACGAAGAGCAGGGAGTAGGAAATCTAAGACCTGACTGGTGGATCGAGAAAAAACTTCCGATTTGATAATACCAAACATGTGTTCCTCACCCGAGAATACTTACGCACGTAGAAGCTTTAAGGCGTTTTTTCGTGAAATTTTCTAATGATACAGAGTTAACGTGGGCTCCCGTTGTTGCGTGCTAGACAGCGTTCCATTATCTATGCATTATTCCATTATTGCACGAACATGCGCTTAAAGGGATGCTGCATTACGCAACTTATAGAATGGCGACAGTGGATCAGAGAGCCAATATGTCTCTTTACCTATAGGACGGGCCACGTCACCCAGTCTAATTTCACTAAATAAAGTGCAGGTAGAAGCACATAGCTTTGAAGTAAACGAAGATGGCAAGGTACGACGTAACGAACCTCGAAAGGAACAGTCGCTAGCGTTATTTGGTTTCAAAACACCCGCCAACAGGAGAAGCCCCTCGCATTCTGTTTCAGACTTGAGACACAACGTCCTAGCATACCTCGAATAATATGACTTCACAAAATCAGGCACACTTCCACGAACACTAGGGTCCTTAGCAAAATATTTACGCGTAAAACTTACAACGCTCCTATGTGCAAGTAGGCTTTTGCCTCGTGTGCCCACATGCTCCCCACCGAGCCTTATTTTTGGTCAGGTCTGGCCGCAACGCCACTGAGCCTAGGTACAGCATGTATGTTCCGAACTGTCGAAGCGAAATTTCATCTTCTTTCAGAAGCAGAAGGTCGACATGTTTGCGCTTTTCGTATGCAGGGTAGCTCGTATAGGTTCAATGTTATTCTCCATCCTCGTAAATTGAGATAGTTAAATACTCGTCCATCGTCCCTGCGTTCACACAGCGCGTTATTATTATTTGGAACCTCACGACCTGTTGCGCCGACGTACGTTTTGGCCCGCTGCGAAAACCTAAAGCAAAAACTGAACTCTAATACTATACACGACGGTAAAACAGATTTAGACAAGATTCTATTCATGACTTCAAAGGGGTGTGCTCTTAGGAAAGGTCGTCGGAAAAGCGTCAGAGTTAAAGCATTGAAAAGCTGCACTCAACACAAATTGCTGTGTCATCTTCAGTGAAATCTACGTTTTGGATCTCGCTGAATCTTCAACTGGGCCAGTGGAGAACTGTGACTGTGACAGTTGAAAAAGGCTGTACCAGCCTACGTGACGCCATTCTAACGGAGTCGTACTTGGGTCTCTGCGACCATTGCCAATCACAGCCAGCAAGCCAGCTTAACTGTTTAGATTAACTAAATTTGCTTACAGTTCAACTAGCTGCCCATAAGCATTATAATAATCAATAGTGCGATTAATTGCACTTTTACTTGCGTAAGCATCTGAACGCATTTTTCGAAATTATTCAAAATTATTAACGTGTTTTTATAAAAATCATGTGAAAATAAGATATATTTGTACTATTTCATTTTAGCGATATCTGGCAATATTAACAGCATGTATATTATAGGGAACAAGCTACACTGCAGCAGGTGTGTTGTCCGTAAGTTCACGCTTCTACCTACCCTGACAACGAGGATGATTGAGGCGGAAGAAAATAGATATTTACGGGATACCATTCGCGTGGAATAAGAAATACCCTATTTGTCCAGACAATCGCTGGCATTTGTCTTTTTTTGTAAAAGGCTCCGTCTAAACCTCTTTAGTCTGTGCAGTTCTACTCAGTTCGCCTATGCTTCGTTCAAGCCGGAACTTTTTTTCTTAAAACAAACCACCTAATATAGGATATGACGGTGCGCAGAGCAACTATTCCATATGCTATTGTGCAATGGCGATGAAAGAGACTTTATTCTCTATATGATCAAACGGTAAAACAGGACGGGCTTTGTTTGCGGTGAACCATGCTGCCTAGAGGCTTCCGTCCCAAAGCGTATAGACTAAGCTACATTTCTAATACGTATTCATATAAGGAGAGCTCCTACGCTGTTGTGAGTCTCGCATTCATGGCATAGCGCACATCGTAAAATACAATTTTGAACTGTTTGTACAATTAAATTGTATAGCACAGCTTCGGAATCAAACATGGTGCTATGAAGTATAAAATGGGCTTTTCCGGGTATTAAAAAGATGTGAGCCTTTTGTTTGTTTCTAAAAACTTCTTATACTTCCTCTGTTATTAGCCAATGGAGCCATTCCAGTCTGGTCCCATGGGAGAAATGTTAATATTCTCAGTAGACACTTAATCGCTATTTCCCCATCTTCATTGATAAGCGAAACTAGGCCTGTTCATGGCCTGAGGCTCCGCCTGAATTTGCATGGAATTCAATATTAAAGGACAATCTTTACAGACTTCAGGGATCAGCCGCCACCACTGCCGTGCGACAACTGCTTGCTATTGACAACAATCTTATGGCTTTATTCCTTTCATTTGCTTGATTGCTCTTCGGGTTCAACCGCATACGGCTCGGATCTCTGACCATGCTTCGGAATTCCCATTGCTCATCTGTTTTATTCGCACGGCTGCTTGGTCTGAAGAATGGGCTTTCTCTTGCCGATTTGATATTTTTTTTTTGTTATAAAATAACAGCTTCATAATATGATTAACAAAAATTGAAAGAAAATATAAAAAAGTCATTGAGCCAACTCTGGGATTAGCGTTTTTGATTGTATGCTTAAATAAGTTGTTCGAACGCAAGCGACAAGGGATGCGTGAAAATTGCGTCTCGAGCTGAACGTCAGTGTATATGTATACATGATATACTGACTGGTGGGTGTAACGACTAAAACAGTAAAGCGATATAACTTCAAAGCTCTTAATAACAAAAACCATATTTTTAACTACATTTTTTGTACATAGAGTGGGCCAACGAGTAAGGTCGGTTTCGTTGCCCCTGTCTGTTTGCGTAAGTAAGCGATAAACAAGTTCTAGTTAAACCGTTGAACAGTAGCCACAATATTTTACGATAATGATATATTACAGCTTGGAACAATATTTCCTATTCGCCAAAAATTACCATCGTCCATTATTGTGACACATCATCTTTTCATAAAAAAAAAAAAACATTTTTAGATGAATGGCTCTGTAAATAAATAAAATTGTCGGTCCCGAGTCTCCGAGAACACAAGCGTAAGGTGGACCTTAATAAGTTAGAGCATTCGATGCAAACGCATTTGATTAGAACAAAATAGGGCAACTTGATATACTACAAGGGAAACGATCAATCTGTTTGAAACCATGTCCCCAGACCGGCTGACCTCCATGTGCCGCTGTGACATTGGATGGCCGTCCCGGCTCCCTTTAGTAATCTCTACCTTTAGTAAAGGCGTAAGGGACAGACCCTATAAAAAAAAGCCAAAAACAATCTACGACTTAAATCACTGTATTCAGAAAGTAATTGGTAAAATTAATGTCAAAATATACAGGACGATGGTTGAGAATTACGTGCGGCGGTTCTGCTTAGGCAAGCGGTGCTGGCCAAACATCTGGCAAGTATTGTTTTTCAGGTGTTATGCAGATTAAATGCCGTGGGCTGGACTAATCTGGATTTAGACACGGAGAAATTTATTTGTCTTCTCACTTCCGGGTGCATTAAAATAGACTGTACGCATACCCACTCGATATGGAGCAAGCGGAGGCAATTCCAAACATATCTGCAAGAAATGAAAAATATTGCTCCTTTATTATACCGATCGATGTTTCAGTGTGACACGTTTCTGTTTGTCTTTGCTAGAAACTTATCAGCTTCTTATTCTGCTGGTAAAAATCATACATACTGGCAGGTTCTAAGTTAGCGTCCGGTTGACGTAACTTCACACCTAATTCAGTGTATACCGCGCTCTGTACCATCCTGAATATACCCAAAACACCTTAGCTTCAAGCAGCTTTATCCGAGGCGATTCACTCAGACCTTTTAAAAAAGAAAGAACATTTTAAATTTATTCCAGTATCTAGTTTGAACTTTCTGCGAAAAAGCAAGCTAAAGTCTTGTTTGAAGGCACACAAACACACATATGAAAAGGCTAATAAATAAACAAACATAATGACGTCTGTTAGCCGAATATTTTGTTATTCTGTGTAAAGCGCGCATGTGTGTTGTTATTTGTCGTCGAACTTCCAAACGGCTGGATATCCGCAGTGTATTTCTAATCGCCATATTTATGTTGTTCCTAAAACACCTGACGTATCGAATATATGTCGAAACATGTTGTCAACAAGTATATTATATAAAAATTTAATCTAATTAATTCATTGTAAGAACAACGAACCTGAATACGCTTTGGGCGCGGCACAGTTATTCGAAGTTATTCTCCTTTACCACTACGAACGAATCTCGTGGGTAAATAAGCATGTAGTAAGCCGATTTGGTGAACAGAGATTCCCTATTGACAAATTCGTTTAACTATTATCAAGCCAATAGTCTCAAGCCAATAGCTAGCTGTATCACATAAAATGTATGGTAGACAGGTGGATATGCCCCCAACTAGCAGAGAGCAAAAGAGTCGGCTGTTAATTTGCAGATTGCCCACCGCGTCTGAAACCACTATAACGTATTGCCCGCTGCAGGTGGATGCTAAAAAAACGGCGAACGAATCAACTTGCGGTCTTCACAGGATTATCTGTGAATGCAAAATTCTACACAAGCAACTCCTGTTTAAATTACTATGTCTAGCCCGCTAAGTGCTCGTACAGGAAGAGGCATGACGGCATGAAGAGCAGGCCCTACTGATCTCATCTCAACTAGGACGCCTGAAGGGACTACCACAGAAGGGCTGGCTGTTGAATAGCATCCCCACCGTACAGGAGCCGTCGTCCTTATCGGTATCATCCACCTCTTTGTTTTTTCCTTAGCATGAACGTACTTTGCCAATTAAGCACCTTCAATGCGATTATTTCGAAAGTAAAATGTCAATTTTCTTTTAATGATGTAGATAAAGCTCTCTGCGAAATAGCATGATCCGCACTAATGACAGTTAATATATTATTATATTTGCTACAATCAGTACAACAGCTGTCGCCAGAGATGTTGATTCATTTATATTTCCATACAGAGTCAGTTAAGTTTTCAATTTGCCGTCACTTCGCAATCCTAGAGACGTCTATAAATATTAAATCGTAAAGATTGATTTGGCATATTGAAAGGGTAGGTAAACGACTTGCGTTTGGGCAGCTTGTACATATCTCAGATAATTTTCAGAACTTACAACTTCTATAGATGCGTTGAGAGATATACGCTGCAACAGACCGCTTTTAGTATTCTTGGTTTGTTTCCATGTAACAGCGAAAATAACTTAGCCTTTGTAATTCAATAGGAGTTAGCATACTAGCAAATTAAGGTAAATTCACCACCAAGCATCTAGCTAATTCAAATTCAAACAGAAGTTTAATCCAATCAACGAATCCCATAAGTTTAAGGCTACCGCAGGCAAACAATAAGCTTAGCCCTATTAAACCTACATATGTATTATGTTGGAATGTAGGGCAAAAAACGTTCACTCATTGTCTAGCGTAGCCAAATCCCTCCTGATACGACCGAACGAAAGCCACAATGACCCCTGGGTCGACCTTTTTCATGAAGTCATAGTTTCAAGCTAGACAAAAACGGGGATAGGCAAAGCACACATCGAGCCCCGGTATAATTTTATATGTAGTGTACAAAGGAAATTGTACTAGTAGATAGATGCTAGCTGCAAATGCAGTCAGCAGGAGAAGGTAACCCGCTGACAGGAGAGAAGGGTAAATGGAGCCAAAGGCTGTATATAATCTAGTGGGAGTAAAAACAACCCAGAAAGAAACCCTAACACCAGCGGTGTTAAAGACTTAAACGTTGGGCATCGTCTGTTATCTATTTGAGAAAATAGAAAATAATAGCGGTAGCGCTGTGCGTCAAACGTGTCGGGTATAGGATGTCCCTTTTCTAGATGTTTTCGTTTCGAGTAGATCTCATATAATATTCCATTTACACAATATTCACTAATCATTTGGACGTTTTGTGGATTTAATTTGTATTTGTAAACGAAACCACAGTTATTTTGTTGCTCGCTCTGTATACTGTTTGTTTTTCAAAGCCCGTATGCATGTACTTCACTTGGGTCGTGAACACGAACAAGCCAGATGGAGAAAGCCATGCCATTTAAATCTGTAAGGCACAGGTCCGTGTTTCTTCAGAGCCACTGAGATTAACCGACATAGTAGTCTTGAGTTGCTTTCGCCCATGCTAACAAGTGTTTCTATCTGTCGCGCGTTCGTCCTGCAATATAAATCCCGGTTTTGATAGTTATATTTCGCTTTAATGGCTTCATTCAAACGTGACCTCAATGTTTGCCCTGTAAGTGAAATCGGTTCCTCCATATGCCACAGTTCGCCAGTTAGTTCTCTGTTTACATATAGCTGCATACACAGCCAGCTGATCTATCTCTGTCATCTCTTTCCCGTACCGCAGAATAAACGTGCTGTACGTAAGATTTCAGAATATTCAAGCTGCGTTTGAGTTTGTTTAATAAACAAAGGACTTGGGAGTAGGTGCAGGAGGCGATTACCTGCAGCAATATGTAAGTCTAGCACCTCTTTTAAGAAAACGGGCCTCGTTCCTTCTAGTACTATTGTATTGTATAATAACTGAATAAAAATTCTAGGTCTATTGGATGATAGTGAAACGAGTTGGGCGTGCTCGTAATATTTTTTCTAAAACGCCTTCAACGGGAGAGTTCGTAGTGTCTTCCATTCAACCCTGGGCATAGCTGCGTGGGTAGAGCAGAATAATGCCTATTCACTCAGTCACGACTAAGATATATGTCGTATATGAACTTGATCCTTAACATTTTATCTGTTAAGTATCTTTCGTTTATTTTTTAAAGATTCTCCTGCGCAGAGTTTGAGTCTCTGAATTTGATTTTTTGAGTTATTTGATCGAACAGAAACGTTTTGCTCGAAACTAGTTGCTCCACCAGCGACCTCTTTTATCGACAGAGTCAGCAACATCGTGTTGTCAAGCGTTCTCAAGATTTACTCACACAAATGTCATCTAGGCAGGCCGTTTTCGCCTAGACTCAAATGAATAGATCTAAGTGAATGGTCACCATACCCACCTCAATCCCGTTGACTTGACATCCTGCTCCAATTAGGCTTGAATTCATAACGTGAGCCCAAGGTCTCATCCAGTTCGATGAAATGGCGCGGTACAATGGAAGGATAGCTTCATATAAACAAAAAAGATTTCATTGTCTTCACCATAGTTTAGGTTGGGCTTGAGTGGGTCACCTTTTGTGATTAGAATTGCAAAGGCCTTCGTAGTATGAGAAGAGAGGCGTCTGTGAGCCAAAAATAAAACTTTTCGATGAATATTCGTACTGGCAAAGTTAGTGGATACCTAAGCCAGTAAGGGCTTTATCTGTACAGCGAGCTTATAGTAGCAAAGCCAACACACGTCACCAGGTACGAAAAGGTGTGACGAATTCAGAAAAACGTACCGCGTATTCTGCTGTCGTAGGCAGCACGTGTTTGTACGAAAATAGAATAATGAAATGCACACTTTTGACCATATACGAATAGGTCTCTACACTGATTTTCGAAATAAAGATTTGTTCGTACGTTGGTAAACGGTTTTGCATGTAGTCTCGCGGACGTCTGCACCGCTAAATTTGGCTTGATTTAAAGCTGTCCATGGGCGGATGATCGTGCAGGTAATCGATGGATACTCTTTAAAACACTGAACACGTGTTCGTACATTGGATTTTTGTGTACAGGTAAATCTGCTGTAGCTTTGAAGTTAGTACGAATCTATGTAAATAAAGCTTTGGCTCGATCAAATGTCACCGAATTAATGTCTCTGCTGCCAAAGGTAACCTATTCGAACCAAACTTGAACTTAAAAACGTTGAGATATTGGAACTAATAGATCGATCCCGTTCCATCTTTAGAGATCCTTCTTCAACCCTGCTAGCACAAAGTATCCTATTTAAGTTGTAACAGAATATAATACAACATTTTAAGTGAAGTTGCCCCATTTCTATACGAAACAGTTTTACCACGCGAGTAATTTCGATTTAGGTGGGTGAATTATCCAACTTTTATTATAAATTCATGTCCAACTCAAGTAGGTTGCCTTTTGCCGATAAAAATGAAAACGTTTCTACGAGTACTTCATGAGACCGGTATAACGTGTTGAAATGAAATTCCAGTAGACATATTTATTCAACATCTAAGCAGGTAGAAATTTCATTAACATAGCTTTTTCGAAAAAGCAAATAGATAGAGACAGGTTTGTCACAAATTTTTTTACAGTCCTATTGCATCCTTTAATGAAGGATAGATTGATTTCAAATAAACAAAAATGCATAGTGTTCCATCCCGTAAGTGATAGACTCTTAATGGAGTACTAGAGCAGAAGGTTCGCTTAAAATGCACACAGAATGGGCAATAGGTAAATTTTCATTAAACAAATCTTTTTTTTTTTATTTGTAGAGATATATTCATAGTTGAGCAATTCGATCAATCAGCTTTTCTTCCGAATCCCAGTAAAAAAAAATCCTGTTAGGATTTTTGTTCAATTACTGCAATAGGCAGAATCACTACAACTATATCTCTGAGCAGAACTAATAATGAAACCATATAAAATGCGGCTTCAAAAATGATAGCACTTTCATCAGCTAACGATTTTTCTGAAGCATGCGGCAGAAGATAACCTCTAGTAAAAGATCACGTTAATCTGTGAAAGCACGATAATCATCATGCCACGTATTAATGTATCCCTTCAAAATTCGAGGTAGAGCGAGTATACCTTGTGAAAGAGGATCTACACCTAAGGTAAAAATTCAATTGTATTTCAACTTTCTGTTCTGCAAGATTGCATATATAGTGGAATTCATGATGGACACCATCGAAGACCATTAGCAATACTAACTCCTCACAAATAACCGCTTTCAAACTTCAACCTGAATATAAAATGATCAGCTTACAATAAACTGTCTTTTTCAGTTGCGGTAAATTCACTAGGACGTTACGTGTGGTTCATTTTCTTTTAGATATATTTTAAATTCATTCCGTTTGATATATCAAATCAGACCCGTTCGTCTCCCGCAGTATTCCAAACGTTTTTCAGAATCTGATGCTAGTCCGGTACCATTCAACCAATTTTTTTTTTATAAAGGTATAGGCCGATGCATCTACGGACGGCCGAATGTTATTTTTTTATAGTCCATTTAATGGAACTGAGGTACGGGACTCAGTCACCTGTCCGTAAACAAATGAATTCGTATTCTGGTAATATACAGCATGATGAGCTGCTTCTTTCAGCTTACTGTTCGCCCGCGTTACTTTCTCATGCTCTAGCCTCATTCTTTCTACTCCTTGAAGTTTTCCTTCCTTCTGCGTAATGGTCCTGAGAAAAGTAGTTCTTTCACGCCACCCCTCCGAAGATCTAAGTATATGATTAACAACCGTGATCCAAGATGCCCCTGCAGGGCTTCATATTGAAATACAGTCGGTTGCATTCCGTCTGTTCCACGTGACGCGCATGGCGTACATACGTCATGCTGCGTTTTCCCTATGCTGATTCTGTGTGCGTACTATGGCAGGAATGGATAGAGTTTGTACTAGTAGAAAGGTCTCGTCCAGCTTCCCGGTCTATCCGCGTTGCTTTTGTTCTTACTTTAGATAGGTTCACATAATCCTTCAAATATCGTTTCGTTTTTTCTTTCGCCGAAGAATTCCAGAGAGTAGCTCAGCGGCTACGAAGGTCGCCTCAGTGGACACGCACCTACATGCTCCGACTACTTCAATTGCCTTGCAATTGCCTTCTGTGCCGTAAGCAAGATCTTTTTACTCCTCAGCTTAGCAAAAGCAATATTCGCCTATGCCAGGCCAACGTATTGTGCAACATATTTTGCCATTGACTGACTGTAGAAGGCGTCTCGTGCCTTTTGAAGGGCCCGCATTATAGGCATAAGTCGTGGTTGTTTAAATGCACTACAGAATGCTTTCCCTGAAGCATATTAGACATGTGCTGTCCCTGTCAGTCCAGTATCTAAGAAACTTTAAATATTTTACTTGTCGCCTAATTTGCATGCGAATCCCCGTAACTTCTAACAAAACTTCTGCAATCTTTTTCCTACATGTCAGCTAAATTGCTTTACTCGCCTCTTGACCTGCCTGAAAAGAAATGATCTTCTGTGGCTGCAAAGGCCCCATTCACCATTCCTTTTAATTTTTCTTCGGAGCGAGCTATTATAATTAACGCTAATTCATCAGCCTAGGCAATGCTTCTCGTGTCATCTGGCATATCCGTGGTATTAAGCATATCGTCATAGGCACGTTTTCATAAGGTTGGTCCAAGACCCGACCCTAATGCGACTTTCACTGTCATCTTCTTGTTCGGATCCTGGCCTGGAGATTCCCATCATCTGTTTATGAAACTACCAATCTCTTAAAGTATGGCAGAATGCTTTTTGCTTTAGGGATTCACTAATTATTCCCAGTTCGTTGTATTGAGCGCGTTCCTAGTATCTGATAATATCAGGAAAACATAGTTCCAAGTTTTGAGCGCGTTGTTTCCCACTCTACGCGCCCTATCTGGTACTCTATTAGTGGCTATGAAAATCGACTTACTCCTGCAAGGATCATACTATAAATCTGGCGAAGCTTGATCGGCCTCTAATTTCTGCTTGAGGCTGCTTATTGCGTCGTACTCCATGACTTTAGCAACCATATTAAGGGGGCAGATGGGCGTATATATTATTGTATTTACTGTCGGAGTCAAGGCTACGTCTAAATTCTTCCGTTGCTTCGGCGACCTGACTGGTCTAGAAAACGGCGAAGTGGCTAAAAATTACAACTGCCTCAGGATTGAAGAGTTGGATAAACCATTATACATACCATTGTTAGCAAAATGCATCTCTACCTCTATCGGACTCTCCAAAAAACAATCTTGCAGAAGTGTCTGGAGATCGCTCGTATCGAACATATATTCACAGTTAACAACAGCAATAGTAATTATGTGCCATGAACACGCAACAGTTTCTTCTGGAGGAGCCCAATGGTGACAACAGGTGTGAGGTAAGGCCAAATAGTATGCTAGAAGTGTTATCTGACACAAGCAGGCGAAATCGCGTATATAAATACATACATCAAATTGAACAGGATATTTTTTAAGAAAACGTTAAAAAAATCTATTTTATTTGAAAAATGTTTAGCACTCCATCGGAGCAGGTATAAGCTCCTAACTAATAATTTCCCTTATTGCCTCTATAAGCGAAGGTACACATTCACGATTCACAGGAAATATTCAACAGATTTTACCTTTTGATCCTAAAGATGGTGTAGTACCGTTTGCAACAATTTTTATCGCCTCAAGATCTTACCAGCATTTCATCGGCTATTGCTGCATACAATATTCATTTTAACCTAACATTCCTCATCACAAGGCTCTTCAATCCCGTTTCTTTCTTTAGTTGCTTCAAAATGGCACGTTTTCCTAATATTATTGGCTTGCTAACTTTTCAGTTTATTAAGTGGCAAACTACGACTAGTCCATTTGGATGTATGTCGTTTTCTCCGCTGTGTTCAGACCAATATATAAACTATTGTACAGGGAAATACGTGTCGCCCCCTTTTTTTTTATTTACTTGCTACACTTTCTCCTTCTTATCCGGCAAGGGGGAACCACCTTCTGTACTAACAAAATAGAACTCCTTCTCATTTTTTGCTGGTAAACGCAGGCGACTTTGCCCTATCAGTCGGAAATTGCCTTTACACAGAAGGATTAGGAATACTTCAACGAAGATTAAATCCCTCAAAACACTACCTATCTTATTTAAGAAGCATTGCAAGCCAAATGCAAGTCGAAGACTTCGACAGTCTATCCAAAGGGGAGCTGTATACGAATGAATAAGAAGATATGAAAGACTTCATTGTCAACATAAAGCCCAGCGTGAGGCAGGGCAGGCCCTTTGCATCACTGAATCGAACAAAGGCTCATAGAACACATTACCGGAGCCGATGGCTACAATATACTGCGCATCGCATACGAAGGTTGAAATCTAGTGGTTAGGAACTAACGTCGCAAAACTTAAAAAAAACAATCGATGATGAATGCGAGGAGAATTGAAAATAAAATTAAAGAACAGATATAAACTTTTTCCTTGATACCTCTTTTACCTTTTGCTCCGTTCGTTATGTCTGTTACTAAATTTTTGGAATTTTGCGTCCATTATTAGCTTGAAGTATCGCTAAAGGCGAGTGTCCTTGAGACCAAAACGTAGTGTACCTACGTTAGGGCTTGAACCTGAACTACCATCCATTCCATTTGGTAGGCAAAGATGCTGCCATTCCATCTTCAAGAGAACCCCACTCCAATTAGAAAAGGGCCACTCAATTGGCACTACCATTTACCATTGATCCACATTACATCCAAATTGATAAAATTACAATTCCAGTATATCGAGTCTCCATAAGACGAAATGAAGAATAATAAATTTTTCGTTTAATACGAAGATATACTAAAAAAATACAAATGCCGTATTTGTATGAATG